GTTGTGATACTTACTTCCTTGTGTGTTCAGGTCTACATGGCCTTGCGTAGACATCCAAAGTAGCTTTTAGGAAGTGGTGCCACTAGCAGCAAAATTAATTTGTCATGGATAGAGCTGTTGTATGACGTTTAATAAAACTCAGCCTGAGACCCAAGCTAGCCGAGGATATAGTAAGGCAATCCATTGGTTTTAGTGGCACAGCGAATTTAAGCCCTTTCTTCTCTGTTCTGTGGTTCATTTTCTGTCTGTCTGTCCCTAAATAGCTGTTTGAGAGTGTACTGTACACAGTATCACTGAGAATAAGAGATGTAGGAACGGGAATACAATAAGCCTGCCTTCTTGCTAAAGCCAGCATATTTTGTAACTACACCCATGTTATCTTGGAGAGGATTAGACTGTGTTGGACATTGGAGAGACCCTGTGTTCCTCACCTTTAGGAAATGGAAGTGTCTGTCACCTAAATAACTGTTTGTTATATACATATTGCATTGCTTCTTTTCTTAATCAATAGTAACATTTCCCAGATTCTCCACCTGAGCTTTTAAACCACAGTTAAGTCTTTGGCCAGGACAAAATTTGCCATACCATTATTATTTTTTTTTCTGTTCTGTGGTTCATTTGAACATGCCATAGTCTACGTTATTTGCTTTGAACCATTAAACATCGGCATCCATACAGCCAGTGCCCCTACAGGGTAGGAAAAAGTATTGACTTAGCTGTTCTTGAAAATAACACTGCTAAATCTATTGTGGAAAATAGCGAGTGGTTTTCCAATGCTGACTGTGTAAAACTTGTCCTGGAGAAACCATCACAACTCTATCCATATATAAGACAGATCTCTAAGGGGCTTCAGTCTAGAATCCATTCTGCAATTCAGCTTGCATGAAACAACACTTTTTGTTATGATTCTGAAAGGTGGTGGATTTTTTACTTTAAGAAAGTGAATTTAAAATACTGGCTAAATAACACCGAAATAAAATCTATTTCCAGCTCCTATATTCAGTTCGATTATGGCATTTGCTCTGCACAAGCTATGTGAGTCTTGCTACTGAAGACTTTGAGGTACAAATAAATTCTGGCTTTAGAAATATATCAAAGTCAAAAAGAGTCCCTGAAGTGGCAGAAGTCCATCAGCAATGATTTCTCAGTTAGAAATATTTATCACTGTAGAAAGGAAATATTTCCCGTATTTTCAATTAAACACCACAAGCCTCTGTCATGTTGTACTATATATAACTTAAACCACAACTGAGAAAGGAGAAAATGGAGATTAAAACTGACTAATGACACTAAGGTGAACTAGTTACTGGAACTGAAACAACAGTAAAAGACAACTCCCTCCTCTTTAAATACTTAAACCGGGAAAATATTTTCCCTGGGGTTTGAAAATTCTTCTACTACATTCTTAGGAAAAAGATTCAGTTTTCAGCAGGACTGTCCTTGCTGGTAACTCCATTTAAATTGCTACAGCAATGCTAAGGGTAAATTTAGAGAAAAGTTCTCAGAAATAGTGAATTAGGAAAGTGATTACTCTGTTGGTAGGAAGGAGAGGCAGTAGGAGGATGGATGCAGCAGGACTTTTGCTGCCTTGTCAGACCAGAATGTCTTCTGCAAACTAAGGAGATGCTTTCAATCAACTGGCTCTACCAAAGAACTTTGGATGCTCCATTCTTCTTTTTTTTTTTTTTTTTAATTTTTATTTATTAGTTGTCATTCTTTGACATGATGAATACTTACAGCAGTATGTTAAAAAAAGATACAGTTAAGTCTCTTGGCATCACTGCATAGCAGTCACAGCATTTTCACACAATCTAGTGCTTCCTTTCAGAACGATGCATATGGCATATATACGCACATATGGGGGCTGATTCTTGGTCCCAGTGAAGTTGGTGGGACCAGTGTTTGGCCCATAGAGTTGTGTAAGATATGTGAATATGTATATATAAAATGCTTTACAATAAACATGACATATACAATCTTGAATTAAAAGATAAGTAGAATATATTTTACATCCAAGTCAAACTTATGCTCTGCACTTAAAGTTTATGTACCTAAAATATTGGATGGATTATAGAAACAAATAATAGTTATAATAGTTTGCACCAATCAAAGTAATTTGGATACATATTCATGGCATGAAGCTTGGTTTGGGTTTTTGTTTTGTTTGTGTTTTGGGGTGGGTTTTTTTTTTTTGATTTGCAGGATCTTAATTCAAATTTAAGTTTATTTTTGTAGGCCATGAGCAGGGGATGATGGCATCAGGAAGGGAATGGGAGTACTGTATGGACAACTCAGCTGAGTGACTTAAAATATAAGGCTATAAATCATGACTGGTACTCTGACTGATACCTGAAAATAAAATTAGAACTGCTTGAGTGTCCTTGCTGAGGAGAGTCCATTTGGAAGGGCTAGTAGGCATTCTGGCTCTATTTTGTTGGAAACTTTTAATAGAAATTTCAACCACGGATTGGAAAAGCTGGTGGGACAGCTATACATTGTGAAAATGGGCTTATCTCATTTACTGTGGTAGAAGCCTTCTCACTGATCCTTTGGGGAGACTTTGATTTTCTTCATGAAAACCAATAGGTTATACAAAAATAATTGACCCATGTTGTAGATTAGCTTAGCTGCAACTACAGATCACGTGGGGTTATTTTTCTCCATAGACTATACTTAATCTCCACTACTCCTCTCTCTTGTTTCTGTATTTCAAGAGTACACACTTTCAATAGTCCTTTTTTCCCTTTTGGATTGTGGCTGGAATGTTGGACCTTAAAACCCAAAGGTAGGTAAAAATCTTTACTTAATGAAAATGCACATGTATGCATTATTTTAACCAGCCTAAAAGTTTCACTTATCACCACTTTCTTTTATTATTATTGTTGTTGTTATTTATAGAGAATTTGCCTCTTTGATGGTATGAAATCTGCATTTAAAGAAACTAGGTTTTAATCAAAATGAATTGTATTTGTGGGGCATAAAACTGTTTTAAGTTCCTGTTTTTAGCAGTTTTCTGCTAATATATATTCACATAAGCAGTTTTCTGCTTATATGAAAAACACAACTCAGTTTTAAAACTTCAGAATCTTTTAGCTGCGCTGGCCCAATAAGAAAGAAAAATAATTTACAAGGGCTTCTGTAAAGTGGCTAATAGGGCTAACAAGACAAAAATCTGCATTATCTGCATGAATGTTTTTCTGTTCTGTGCATCCGGCATTCTGCTGGCATCCTGGGAAGGAATTCCAGTACAGAAATGTCCTCCAAACTAGATAATACCAAAGATAGGTCACAGCTGCAGATACTGAGCACTGGTGCTGTTGGATTTGCTGTATCGGGTATGGTTTGGCTGCTTCTGTGGGAAATCAAATGGTGGCATTTTTCTTTACAGACCCCAGTGAATCTTGCTGCCAGGCATCTGCTGCCAGAGCCCAACTTTTCAGTGCACTTTTGTCTAGTGACAAGCTGGCCCAGACCCAATCTCGTGTAATGGGTTCGGCTCACGAGTATAGGAGCATGTCTAGAGCCACCCTGAACCTAGATCAAGCATTGTTTCATTAGACAAGGTGTTTGAAATCTAGCAAGTATGTTCAGTGCACCAAAAAACCCACAACCTGTTCAAAAGCAGCTTTTCAAAATTGGGAAGTTTTAATTTGGCAAGAGCAGACTTGTAATGGACCCTGTAGGCTCTAATTACGGAAAAGGTCTTCGTTTTATTGTAGCTATAACAGAACTTGATTTGTACCTAAGCTTTCCTGTTGGACCTATTTTCTGGAAGCTCCTCAGAAACAGCTCAACAATTTATCTGTCAAGAGCTTTTTATGCTGCTAGACACTGGGCTTGTTGAAGTAAACCAGAACATTTAAAAAAAAATTCTTTGAACTAGGTTGAACATGGCTTCCATTTCTTAGTAAACAGACAAAACAAGGGAAATTGTATCCTTTTGTATGTTCATAAGTGCTTCTAAGGAGCACATTACACTGCGTAATGTCCTAATAATCATCCTAAATCTGTCAGGAGAAGGAAAGCTACACCTAAAAAGCTGCAAAGTGGTGATGCTCCTGCCCCCACCATCAGGTGGTTAAAAAGACATTTATGTGCTGTAGTTAGAAATAATTTTATTCTACTACAAGTCTCTCTTTTTGCTTGTTGTGATACTTCTAATATGTGAGTCCCATTTAGGAGAGGGAGGAAGAAGAATGTTTTCTACTGTTTATAGCTTACAAAACAGTAGAGGAGAAGAAAAATATCGTTCTTGGGATGCTTTGTGTTCTCACAGTCATTTCCATTTTCCTACTTCACTGGGTTTCTGTCTCTTTCTCTAAAGATACATGTCCAAAGAATTAGTAGAGTAAAACATCCTTTACTAAAACTTAAGCTTTTTATTTTCCTTTAAACATATTAGTCACTTTATGAGCATGAACACTTTGTCTAATCAAATCAATATTCCCTGTAATTGAGAAAAATTCTATTATATCTCCCCTTGCACTTTTATGAGTCAGTATTATCTTTCTGAAACACCAACTTAAATAGCTCTTTCTTTATTGGCCTCTCTAAGATATTAATGTCCAAACATGATTTTATGACCATATCTGCCAGTTCTTTTGGACAACTGCTATACAGATGTGGTGTACTGCGGGTTTACAACAACGCTACCTGAATGCAGTTAACTTTTCTGGGAGCAGAGGAGAAGGGGACAATCACTTTGGTGCTATGCAGTGGTGCTCAAGAATACAATCTCATTGAAATTATGGTAGCTTAAGTAAAGTTTTATAAAGACTATCCAAACTGAGGTTGTTGATGACATAGATAAGGCCATGTATCTTTCACAAACACGAGACCATAGAAAATTCCTCGGCTACTATGGTAGTTAAGAGAATTTTTCTTAATAGTCTCACTACAACACATTTTTTTCCCTCCACTGAGTGAGACTGACCTAAAATTCAGTTGAAGGATTTTCTTTAATGAAAAGAAAAATACAAATTCATTTGGTGTTGGCTATCTAAGGAGGGAATATGGGGAAAATAAATCAGCTACACTGCAACATCACTCAAGAAAAAAACTGGATTCCAGAACTATAGAATGTTGTGCTTTGTAGATCACTAAGCTATTTGATAAAAATTCACACTCTTCAAATGGTAATCAGGTTGAACTGTCAAATTCTGTGGTGTTGCTGTGGGTTTTGGGTTTTTTTGAACTTAAACTTCAGGCCCTGTGAAGCATTTGCCTAGACCAAATGTGCAAGGTACCATGGATTTACAACACGGACCCATATGGAATGTGTTTGAAGTTTTCAAGAAGTTATCCTGCCAGACTTCATTCCTTAATGACCTTTGATACACCTTGGATAGTGGAAAGGCAGTTCAGAATCATATCTTGTGATCATATGATTTTGGCAGCTATCAGAAGATGAAGGATGCTAGAAGTTAAGGCTTTTATCCACAAACAATGGTGTATATTAATAAACTCTATACCATATTTACAAATGCTTTCTCTTGTATTAAAACTAACAGTATTCTGTTCACAGTGCCAATGTTTTTACAGGTAGCAATCCCACAGTACTCCAGTATTTTGGCATGGGAATCAGTAGCACTTTGTATTTACAGAAAATGTACACACATGAATATAAACACGTTACTTGAAACAGTACTCAAAAGATAGATCTGTTCATGTTTCAAAGGTTTAGACTGTACAACACCTTCCCTTTCGTTTGCGAGGGAATACCGTTCCTTGCAATGAGAAGATGCCCGTCTTTTATCCAAAGAAGTGGCATAAAAATGATTACCAAAATGAGCCTTGTTACACTGGAGTTGTGTATGCAGAGAGTAACTTCAGTCCAAGGTTTATAGATCTGTTGTTTAGTGCACAGAATACAAAAGTTAAAAAGGTTTTTGTTTTAATTACTAAAATAACCAGACTCTCTGCTCTCTCGAGCACTGTCTCACTCAGCCAGTGTCCTCTGGATGCTGAAGATGCTGGTGGTTTAATGTGCAGCCCAGCTGCCCGCCTGGAAAGCATATGGTGCTCTGGGCCTATATGTCACAGCATGACTCGTGGTAAATGAATACATAACCAAGAGTGCCTCTATCTTCCCTGTTCTCTGAGTAATCCTCCCTGCTTCACGTCATCTTCACGGCAGCCAAAACCGGCCCGGTTTCGGTACTGCTGACTAGGACTCCACATTCAGGCAGTTCACGATCAGAAGTGATGAATGGCATCGGGCATGTGCAGAATGAAGAGAGGAGAGAGGAACATGAAAGAGATCCAGAAAGGAACCCAGCAGAACTGCGGGCTTGTTCATGAGGACCCTTACAGCTTCTGCTTTACCCATTCTTCCCTTTCCATGGTCTTGACAATAGGCTCCTAGCTCCCCAGGATTTTGTTTGCTGCTGTGATCAAGACGGAGATAGCAGTGCTACACGGCAAAGTGCAAAGCTGCCACTAAGGAGTCTCTTCTTCATTTAAAGTCTGTTCTTGGCTTTCAGTCACTTGACCTGAGTGGTCACTGCTCCTACTACTGCTGTGTTGCTTGTGGAGCAAACTCCTCCACTTGGCCTTGTTCCTCCTGAGATGGTTTAGCATATTTTCAGATAGGGGGGTATCGCCTGTAAACTGGGCCCACCTCTCAAAGAGTGGCTCTACGATGTACGTCATGAACCCTGGGGAAACACACAAAGGACAGCAGGTAAGGGACAAATTCATTCCCTGAGTGCCTCAAGAAAATGTAGCAATATAAGTGACAAAAATCCTGAAGAGAAAATAAACCATTAAGCAGCTATCAACTCTTTTAGAAACGCACAGCTTTTGACCAGCGTGCATGACAAGATGTGGCTTTTGTGTGTGGAACACTAAAATGTGAGAGAGACAGCATCCTTCTCTGAGGAGATTTCAGACTAGTAAGTAACCCATGAGTAATCACATGTATTGGCTGTGATTTTTCTCTGCAGATATTAAAATAACTCCTTTTTTCCTTTGTCTTTCTATTGAATGTTTGGCTTGGATAGGTTTCTTTTTGAACATTTTTATTTAGAATGTGAATCGTGACTCTTACAGTACCTACAGTTCTTACTGTTAAAGTAACTAGACTGGGGAAAAATAGTTGTTTATCTTTGAGCCTGTACAATACTGAGACAAACATGGAGAGAAGGGAACTAATACCTACCAATCTGTATGCTTGGTATTGTATCCTTCTGCTGATTACAAAGGGGGCTTATTTCCAGTTCGAATTTTTGTTCCAGATCACCTGCAAAAAAAAAAAAGAAAATAAAATAATTTGCTGCCACTTATATCTCTTCTCCGTACCTATGTCAGACACTTACAGTGACTACAACTGTGTAGATTTGAGCAGCTGGAGTCTTGCACCAATGATGACCATGTTAAATGTCTAAATACCTTCATTTTTTGGACTTTGTTTTAGGTATCAGAGAAATTGAGTATGGATACAAAGAAAAATCTCCCTCAGAAAAGGTGACTTTTGAATGAACATTAAATCTAAGCACTTAAATGTTCTGAAGACCTTAATTTTTAAAACAGATTCTCTCACATGAATGATTTTAATGATATTCTAGTTCATTTACTCAGTGTTCAAATGCCTTCCTATAAGAAAAATGTAGAATATATATATTTGAGAAGAAATGCATCTCCATCAGTACTGTAGTGTGAGTTGCTAATGTGTGCTTGTGGAAACAGCTGTTTAAGGGCAGCGTGATGGAGCCTGGCAGTTCACAGCTGTGTCTGCACTATCAAACTAATAAGGGCCAGAGCATGGGCTCAGGCAACATGTCCCCATGTGTCAAGAGCTATGGAGTTCAAGTTATAAATGTGGAAAATGGGTGAATTTAGAAGTTTGTCTTGTTATCGTGGTGTAGCTGGGTATCAGGGCTATGCCTGTGCTGCTGCACTGAATTTGCATCACTAATTCCCCAGGTGGTCCAGGAAGTCCCCAGAGAGTAGTCTGCACAGGACTGACTCGAGACAGTAAACGGACTTAAAGTGGTTGACTGAATGCCTAGCCACCTTCCTAGCAGGGTATTTGACTAACTGGAGCAGGAGGTCTCTAGGTGCAAATCTGAGACTGCCCTCAAGATTCCAGCAGGCAGATCCTGCTGTGACTGGCCCTGGGATCTGTTTCAAATTGCTGAAGAACACCAAGAACATCCCCCTCGCTGGGGGATCTGCTCACTCCAGATGCCACCTCAGACTGCTCCTCAGTCCTGCAGGACTGACCACATTTGGCATCAAGAAGATACTTATGAACAGTTAGTAGGAACTACTCCTGTAGATGCAGAAATGGTCATGCAAGACGGTCTTTTGTATATAGCTA